CGTCCAGAAGATGTTCTTCTTCTTCCGTCACCGCCGGAAACTTCCGGCGGGTGACGTAGCCACGCCGTGACGTCACATCCGGCGCCCCTCTCCTATCAAGACGTGCTGTGTGAACGGTCATTTTTAGTGTTTTACCGTTCTCTGCCCTAGTGCATTTTGGGCCTGTTTATTGTTCTGTGCACTGTGTTCACTTGTGCACCAAGTTTAGTGTGAATGTGACGTGGTCATGACGGTCATGACGTCATTGTGATATTGTTCTTCTCCCGGCTCTGGGGGGGCCCCCCGTTTGCCGCGGCTTTCTCCGCCCATCATTGCCTGTATGCTGTAGGGCAACTTCGAATTGGTGAGTGCACTCTGTGTTTAATTCCTTGGCCAAGGTTTTGTGTTGTGAACTTGTTGTACTTGTATTTTGGGTACATATTTATGTACTTGTATTTTGTACATTGTTATTGTTCTGTCTGAACAGTGTTTGTGCGTTCGCGCGTGTATGTGCGTTCTATGAACGTTTGTTAATTTATAATAATGCAATTTTGGCAAGCCCTTGTTTATGGGTCAATATTTGCTTTCTTGTCAGGTTATATTAATGCCTGTTTTCCCCCCACTGTTTTATAGTGGTTAATTCACTTTAAGACTCTTCATGAGTTGGCGTTTTATGCCGAAATATTATTTCTATTACTATGCTATTCGCATAATTGCTACTTGCATTATTTACCTTGCCAGGGGGACGCCCCTGACACTTTTGCAGTGTATCTGCTCTTCTAAGCATATTTAAAGTTTCTCGCTTCTAGTTCCAATGCATTGGATAGTAGTTTGATCGAGGGGTACCTAACTTGGTCCAGTCTTTGTACACTTGGCAAAAAAATGAAATTATAATCATTCACAATCAACTCCAATCTTCCCAGTCTGTTCCAGTATGTCTGCAGTCTCTCCAATCTTTACAATCACCTCCAGTCAGCTCCACTCAGCTCCAATCATCTCCAGTCACACCTCCAGTCACCTCCAATCACCTCCAATCATCTCCAGTCATCTCCAGTCACTTGCAGTCATCCAGTCACATTCATACTGAAGCCTCTCCAGTCACCTCTTTGGTCTCTTCCAGTAACGTCCGTAACCATCTCCAGTCACCTCCAGTCACTTACAGTCACTTACAGTCACTCACAGTCACCTCCAGTCACATACAGTCATCCAGTCACATTCATACCAAAGCGTCTCCAGTCACCTCTATGGTCTCTTCCAGTCACGTCTTTAATCACCTCCAGTCACCTCCAGTCACCTACAGTCACATCCAGTCACACTTACAATCACCTCCAGTCACCTACAGTCACCTCCAGTCACCTCCAATCATTTCCAATCGTGTCCTTACGCACAGTAACCAGCAGTTGTTACAGTCACACCAATATTTTACAATCAGCTACAATCAGTCCTATTTCCAGTCTTCGTACGCGTTTTTGGTGAGTTGGGTACCCCTCGAGTTTGATCTTCAGGGCATTGTATTTGTTGACTGTTTGCACTGTTTTGTTGACTTCATGTCCTTTTTGCACTGTTGTCTTGTATATTTGTTGTTTATATGTTTTAAATGTTGTTTGGGTTATATCTTCGCCCTCTGTTGTCTGAAAAATCTAATAACAATGGTTCCATTCACCCTCAATGTAACTTTTATTGAAATCAGCTGATTATTTACAATCATTTACAATAATGTGCACATATGCCGTAACTTTTCATGCTCCAGCGGCTATTGAAGTGTTTCTTTTCACTTAATCTTGATCTTCCCTCGTCTGAGTACCGGGTTGATTCTGCCACAATTCTGAAACAAATCCGATAATGTTAAAAATATTAATTTAAAAGCATTGTGTCTAATATTGCCTCAGGTTGCATATCGACTTACCTTGAATATCAGTCCTTTGTGTGCACTGTTTTGTGCTCTGCACCGTCAACATCCTGAAATCAAATTTGAGAACATTACTTATAAATTCAAGGACTACCATTGTTATATTCTGTTCTAAACTTGTACAGGCCTTTGTTTTCCATTGTTTATGCTGGTTTACTTGTTGAGTTTGCCTCTTTATCTCTGCAATTAAAATAAGTATAATATCCAAACTTCATACCAAGTGTTGTTAAATTGATGTTTGTTCAATATTTCTTGATGGCTAAGTTTTGTGTTTTGGCCTCATGCTATCGTCTATTGTATTGTTATGTATCGTTGTTGTATTGTTAATGTTCACCAATTGAATGTGGTATTATTGTATAAAGCATTTAACTATTGCTAATTATATCAATTAAAAATTGTGCAACTACTTTCAAATTGTTAAATCTATTTCTTTATCAATTTTTGCCATGGCCTTTATGAACAATGAAGCTTAATCAAAAGCAACCCACACTCCACTCACAAAAGATTTGTAAAAAATTAGCTTCTCTTATTTCAAGACCGTGACAAAACCATCAGATATTTTCTAAGCTTATTATATTGTTTTGGGGCCACTTTTGTCAGAAAAACTCCCTCTAGCGCCTAAACGGTGAGAGATAAAGCCAAACAGACAAAATATTTTTTTTCCACTTCTTGGACCAACCCCCATTTCTTTGTTACCCCCTCAGACCCACTCAGGGGTGGTTGCCAGGATTTGCACCAACCGTTTCGTTGTCCAGAAGTGACAACAATAACACCCTGAAAATTTCAGACCTCTAGCTCATGTCCTTCTTGGGGAACGGACAGACAGACAGACAGACACAGAGGCGATGGCATAAGCCCGCTTATATAGCTTTTAAGCAAAAGAGCGGGCTAAAAAGGGGTGATTTTCAAGTGGAAATCGCCCTCTGGCGCCTCAACGGTTAGAGATAGAGCCAAACGGACGAAGTTTTCGCCCAAAGGGCTCTTCTTTGATGAGTTACCCCTTAGAAAACATAAAAAAAATATTTTTAAAAATCGTCATTTTGGGGACCTGTGGTTTTTGATTTTTTTTAAATCCAATTTTTGAGCTAGAATGCTCTTCTTCGAACTTGATCTGTCTTTTTATGACACAAAACGACCCTAAAAATCCCAGGTCGCTGGCTCAATTCGTTCTCCAGTTATCGTGATGACAGACAGACAGACACACAGATAGACGCGAAACTTTTTGATCATCACTGGAGTAATAGGCTTCGCTATCGCTCAGCCAATTATGATTTTAAAGTGTAAAGTAAGTTTTAACTAATTTAGTGGTCAAACAATAAGGTTTGTTGCTTTATCTGATTGAATACAGAGAGCGAAATTAGTGAAGCATACTTACTGGATAGGTTGGAATGAATGAGTTTCCCATCTACCAAAAAAAAGGGGGTTTTAGAATTTTATTTTTTAAAAACATCTCATGGATTTAGAGAATGAACTTCTCTTGCGACATCTGACATGTGTGTCACATGACCCCAGTCTAAAAAAAAATTGGAACACATGGGATCCAGTCATAATAAGTCGTTGTGTTTGTTCCTGCTCCCACTACCGTAGCCCATGAGCTGGCACATACTACACACACAATGGTGAAAATTAACCGTAATCCGTTTAATTTTACTTACAGGAGTTGGAATGCCCTCCGGCAACGGTGTTCCAAATGGTACTGGAAACATCTGTAATTAGCAAATCAAAAAGGCTTTTTAAAGCCACTAGAAATCGTTATGAAATACGGATGGCTGATTAATACGCCGATGCGACTGGAATCGTCACATATAGAGCTTGCTTTCAAAATGAAAATGCAAGAGCCCCTTTGAAAATGTATGAACCCATTCATTCTATTGAAAGGAAACAAGTGGGGGCCTCGTGTCCTATCGCCTTGGCGCCCCGCGTGCGTCCTTTATTCGTTTATAACATGCTCTTTGAAGTAAAAACAATACAATATTAATCTACTAGGTCACCAAATACATGATTTAAGGAAGCAATTGAATGATCTTAATTGGTCAATAAGCATTTTCAATTCAATGGAATGGTAGCAGCGAGTTGAGACACGCGGTGTGATCCAAGAACTATCATATTAATTCGGTCAAATAATTTACGCTTAGCTGTTAGTGACGAATAAAAATGTCTTCGCTACATGCCCTTGTGACCGAATTGGTTTTTAATTAAACCTTGGTTGGTTCGCACGTACCTTGGACAACAAAATTTTGGGAAATTTGGAGGAACGACCAAGAGCGAATCAAATGATCAAATGCAAAATGGCGTTGACGAAAAGTGAGCCGGTAGTTGCGGGAGAAGGCGGTAACAGAACTGCAAGAAAAGTCACATGACTGAGGAGTATGACAAATTTAAGAAGCTATTCAACAGTTGTCTACGAAATCTGTCAGCAGCGCGCCGGAACTAGGGTGGACCGATGGAACCTTTGAAAGCGCAATGTCTTCAAAATTTTGATTCAAAACGAGCTAAGCCTCGACTTAAAATATTATCGATCATCAAAAACAACGGAAACTTAGGTAGAGACGAACTATTGCTTGTGTTACACTTTTCACTGGTCAGTGGCCTAATCTTTTAGTCAAAACCTTCTGCTGCACGTACCTGGAAGGTGGTTTCTTCTAGTACGTTTGTAACCGCTACAGACGTTATTAGTGTACCGGTGCAGCTAGCATTTACCCCTTCGTTCAGAATGGGTTCTTCAAGCAATATGGTCATTACAATCATCGCCCTGACAAGGTGTTTATTTATTCATCTGCGACAATAGACGCGCATAAATGGCGACCTAACCTTCTCGACACACATTTTACTTAACGAATGAGTGATTAATGATTATTGTATTTTACAGAGAACGTCATGATTAGTGCTATCGGGTGCTTTGTGCAGCAGTTTAAAGTAACTTGTGTACTATAACAGTCCTGCATACATAACGCTGTTAAAACAACTATGCCGCCGCGACTTTAGATTCCGGATGGCATGCAGAGACACACACAGCTCATTCATGGACCCAACGGGTATTCGTACCATGCGAATAAGGTAAATGCCATTTTGAAGGCCTTTATTTGTAAGCACCTCAATATCAATTAAAACTGACCAGTTTAATTTATATTGTAGGTTGTGAAGGGTGGGCGCCTTTCGATTAGGTGTTGTCGGTACTACAAGTATCACTGTCATGGTTCTGCATCGCTTCGCGTTGAAGCTCCTGATGGAGACTTCCGTCGCTGTAGTCGCCATAACCACCCACCAGATCTACTGTTGATCCATTGTGGGGTGCCCATTTATTTTTGGAGATTTTTCCCGTCATGCCATTCCCGATTGAGGGCAATGGCATGCACTTGAGAGCATCCTGCATTTATTGGGGGCCTCCCGGGTAAATCGCCGAACGTCACGCTCAGTTTTTACAGCATGCACGTGTTGCGCAGGCTGCGGGCCGGTGCACAGGGGACGTCAGCTTGACGAGGGTTCGAAGGTCTCTGCTCATTGCCGCTCTATCTCCCAATAATTCTTGGATTTACTGCGTACCTCCGGCCCGGTGACATGTGACGAAGGCCCGAGGGCGCTCGCCGGACTTTAGTCGAAGTTGAGACGCTTCCAGGAGCGCACCGTCGAGCGAGTCCGCGTCCGTCGCCGTGACCCTCCGAGTGCATCAGTGAACCTCCTTCGGCCACACCCTCTCCGTGTTCATCACCCTCACCCACCCTGAACATTCATCACTTGGGATATCAGTGCTGTGACCGGGGCTTCCGAATCCAGGAAGAGTGTGATGAAGATTAGGTCATATGTGTTCACCCTCCCTTCTTGAAAACCAGAGACAAGTACACTCCAGAAGAGCAATTGAAGAGGAAAATTGCAAAAGCAAGAATTTATGTGGAGCATGTCAATAGGAAAATTAAAGTCTTCAACACTTTGAAGAATATTAAAAATAGTATGTTACCATATTTGGATCAAATTGTGTACATTGTCGGTTTCCTGGTGAATCTGCAAACTCCTGATGTCAAGACTGCATTAGAGAAGCAAATTATTCTGAAAAGGTGTGATCTTTGTAATTCACCTAGTTATTTGTCTGTGATTATTTGTTAAGAGATCCTGTCAGCTTCTCTACTTGAGTGTAAGAAATGTACCGTACTTCTCTTCATGTACGATTTGCAAGGAAAGTGAGGATAATAAAATAAAGCGTTGTTCCCAAAGCTATTGTTAGTTTTACTTTGGCAAAGCAGCTACAGTTTACAATTTACCCTTATGAAACGAAATTGTACCGAAACTTGTCCTGGGCAGTTCCAAAGTCTGTCCGATTGCCTTCGGACAGGCCCGGATGTATTCCAGGGCAGTCCAATACGAGTCCGAGTCCGACCGAGGACTGGCCGATTTAAGCCCGAGGTAGCTAGGGCAGCCCGAAAGGAGTCCGGTCGCAATCGGACTGCCCGGAGACAGTCCGAAATAAGTCCGGTAGAAACCGGACAGCCCGAAGGAAGTCCGAATGAGCCGACTATCATCTTCTGTCGACACGGCATGGTCTAGGGCTGGCCGAGCAGGTTCTAGACATTTATATTTCTTATACAAAATATTGAAACTAAGCAGCTGTATTAGTGAAAAATGCAATGCATATGTTACACTTTTACACATTAAGTCTTGAGCAACGAGTATCTCCTCAGTACTAAAAGCGCCTCTCGAACTATATAGAACAGAGGTACATTTTATCTGCATGTTAGTACACCATATTGATGCTGGATCATATTTTAACTTAATTCCGATATTTTAAATAATGAAACACATGCGCATTTTAATTTGCAAAATTTCGTCCGCAATGCTCTGTACAGAGCGTATGTGTGATGCAAAGGCGTTAGCCGAAAACCGCATAACGATGCGCTGATTCGTTCGTTCTGTACAGTGCTCGCCCTCGAAGTGACTGCTGCGCCTGGCTGAAGAGGCCTTCCTGAAGCATCTTCTCTCAGCCGTCAGCTTAGCTCAGTTGGAAAGAGCGTTGGTATAAGGAGCAGAAGACCGTCAAGTAGAGGATCGAATCCCGCTG